GAGTAGACAGAATCTAATCACTATGATGTTGTTTTCTGGAAAAGTTAAATTTAATCAACCCTATTTTGGTTCAAAATATTGAAGTATACTTTAGAATTTTTTTTTTAATCCCTGAGGTTAATGATTTGAATTTCCTTGGTCAAACTAACACAACAGTTGCATCTTTTCTAGATTATTTTAGCCTTTTTGTGCCAAATGGATAGAATGTTATGGGCCACTGTGTCCCTCAAGTAATTTCCTTCACAAAATGTAAGGCAGGAAGATCACAAATTTTACATGTATTGATCATCACTAGAGGTAATTACAGCAGAATGGTTTCACAGTGCAGTACAGATCAGCGAAAGAAATGCAGGGGAAAAACACTTTGTGATTTGTAACAGAGAACAAAATAAAAGTGAATTTAATGTTTCTCTTGAAGGTTTATTTTTGTCCTCTTATTACTGTGTGATTTAATTCAAACTTTGAAGTTGGACCATTTTCAGTGTACATGTAAATATGTATATTTGTTGGAAAAATTAAAAGTGAGCTTTAAAGTGCGTGGTATGCAGGGAGAAAATGGATAGATATGGATGCCCTGCTGGCTTTATTAGCATGGTCTTGTATGCATCAGTGTCCCTAAAGTGCCACCAGAAACCCTGGCCAGCAGCTGGGACTGGGAATATTACAGTGGGAGGCCAGTGGGTGGGGAGCAGGGATAACCAACCCTGGAAGACAATGGGAAGAGTGGTCCTGAAGTGACAGTGACATGGTGGGGGCAGTTACCTGGGAAAGAGGAAGGTCAGGAGAGGGTGTGGGTAATCAGGGCTGTGAGTTTCAGCAAGATTCAGGAGGAGATTAGGGCTGTAATAGCTCAAGGGTTCCATTTTTTTGGGATGGGGTGGGGTGGGGTGAGGTTTGGATAAGCAGTCCTGTATCTCTTGACTCACAAAGAGTTGTAACAGAAGCAATTTGTGAAGATTCACCATGTTGAGGTTGGTTGGCTCACTGAGCTGGTTTGTTGTTCCGCAGACATTTCGTTACCGTGCTTGGTAACATCCTCAGGAATCAAGTATTACCACGCAGTGTGAAGTACAAACCACCCATCAACAACCCACAAGCCCGGAAAACAGCAGAACAAAACGGCCGCAAGATGGTAAGGGTAACTGAGGATGTTATCAAGCACGGTAACGAAATGTCTGTGGAACAACAAACCAGCTGGGCGAGCCAACCAACCTCAACACCCATAACCCGAGCTACAGATCTACTCCAAAACCTTAGAGACCTACTGCGCAACGCGCTCAAACTGGCAAGGAAATGGGAAAACTACGCCAAACGAGAGAGCGCAACGCGCGAACAACTCTACTTCCTACATGGATGCCTCAGGAACCAGGAATTACCACGCAGTGTGAAGTACAAACCACCCATCAACAACCCACAAGCCTGGAAAACAGCAGAACAAAACGGCCGCAAGATGGTAAGGGTAACTGAGGATGTTACCAAGCACGGTAACGAAACGTCTGCGGAACAACAAACCAGCTCGGCGAGCCAACCAACCTCAACACCCACAACCCGAGCTACAGATCTACTCCAAAACCTTAGGAAGATTCACCATGCTGTCATCATAGCCCAGGGCTCCTCTGACATTGGCCTGTTGCCAGCGACAGACAGCACAGGACTCTCCGACTGCAAATAAATACAATATCATGGTAAAATTAATGAAGCAATTAAGCTAGAACTTGTGGACACCAACATTTCCTCACTTTCCAATTGCCCTGCAGGGACCACATGCCCCAGGGACCTCAATAAGGGCCTGAGTCTGTCATAGAGATTATACTGTGCATTGTAGCGGGTTGGAATCGTGAGGTAGAAATTTAAAACGTCAATGCCGCCCATACACTGTTCTCACAGGGGGAATTTAAATTCTTGCCAAAATTTGTGAAATGCATTTTTAGAGAAATAGACCTTTTGTGTCATTTTCTTATCTTGAAATCTCAAAAGGTGTGCGGTTCACTTTGAAGACTGAGAAACAGGAGTTTCAGGAAGGCAAGGTTCTCCTCATCAGCTCCAGTATTCTAACACAGGCAACCACTGATTAACTCAAGCTGATGGTGGGATTTAACAGAGGCCTTCAGAATCCTGAAGGGTTCTGACGGAGAAGCTATTGCCATGATCAGGGAGTTGGCTGTTCAGCCAGCATTGATTTAAAGGGGACAATATTGACTACGGAACCAGAGGCAACATGTATTTTTTTTAAAATTTTGTATAGCGAATCTTTATGATTTGGAAACAAATGTCAGAAAGGGATTGGAAACAGATTTAGTAACTTCATCATAAAATTGGGTAAATACCTGAAGGGAGAAATTTAACGGGGCCATGGCAAAAGTTCAGGATACTGGGACTAATTGGAAAGGCTTCAAAGAGCTGGTATAAACATGCTGGTCAAATGAGGTCTTGACAAATGCCTGGCTTTTGGCCTTAACAGGTTTCTCATTGGGAGATCAACCTGATAGAACAGGGTTGGCTTCCAGTCAGGTGGGGAAGACTCTGGAGTAAACCGCAGGACAGAGGTCCCATTGAGGACCCTGGAAGCAGGGTGACTGTCCGTCTCTCCTGCTTCCATTGAACTGGAAGTGGACAGATTGGAGTCAGGTTTTATATCTTTTAAAATATTAACCTCTGAATCGATCCCAACTCACCCATTTGTGGCATTAATGCTCACTCTATGTGTCAATGAACAGGCCATAAACATCGATGAAGTAAAAAGTGTTCTTCCCATTGCTCTGGAATGACTGAATATAGGTTTAAATGCAATAATACAAATTGAAAATCAACTTGCAGCTGCTAATGCTAACATAGCAATCCCTAATAATTTTGAGATAATTTATTTTTAAAATTAGAACTTCATACTATTTGATTGAATAATTTTACAATTTAACCATTGAAATCATGAAGTTTGCTTTCATTGATTCAAAATAAGAATTCTTATCTATTTTTGAAATGGTGTTATCAAATTTGAATTGTGATTTTCTGCCATTCACTCAGCAGTCACGATGGCAATGAACTGTCCTTTATATGATGGAACTTCAAAAGAAAAAGCCTGCGTGAATGATTTTGTAGTAAATCTTTTCTATGTTAGCAAGACTTCATGAAAATGTTTCCATTTGTGGGGCAGTCTAAAACCAGAGGTTGTAAATATAACTGGCTGGATTTTCCGATCATTTCTGAAGCATAGTTGGGAGTTGTTCACGGGAACCTTACGATTCTCAATCTTAGCAGAATCTGAAAGATTTGCCTAGGAAATTGAAGACTCCACAAGCAATTCTACACTGCTTGGAACCCTGTAAAAGTATCCATTCAAATTGGAAGTTTTGGAGTGTTCTGCTGAGTAGTTATTAAACTAAACGCAGAGCTCTTTCATTTTGTAAAAATGGAGTGAAAGGGCAAGCTGTGCTTAATGCCACTCCTCAGAAAATCTGGCCCAAGAGAGTCACCGACAACTCCAGCAGGTAATGCAGGAGGATTTTGGTGATTAAAATGGGGAATTCACCACCATAAAAAGTAATTAACATGAATAGAATAGATGCACTTAAAAGCAGATTAAATAAGCAGGGATGGAGAATGGAAAAGAAAGTTTGATCAAGTTTAATGAAGAGGGATAGGAAAAGGTTCAGGTGGAGCATAAACACTGGTTTGGAACAGTTGGCCTATTTCTGTACTTGAATGCTTTTACAACTCCATGTAAAAGCAAATGACTCATTTTGTTTGGGGAGGGTGATAGCTTCAGGATAATGCCACTGGGCTAGTAACCCAGAGCCATGTTCTGGGTACATGGGTATGAATTCCACCATGGCAGATATTGAAATTTGAATCTGGGATAAGTATCTAGTCTAATGTCAATCATGGGCAGCACAGTGGTTAGCACTGCTGTCCAACACTAGGAATCTGGGTTCAGTTCCACCCTCGGGTCACTGTCTGTGTGGAGTTTGAACATTCTCCCCATATCTATGTAGGTTTCTCCAGGTGTTCCAGTTTCCTCCCACAGTCCAAAGATGTATAGGTTAGGTGGATTGGCCATGCTAAATTGCTCATAGTGTTCAAGGATGTGCAGGCTAGGTGGATTACCATGGCAAATACAGGGTTACAGGGATATGGTAGTGCGGGGTGGGTCTGGGTGGGATGCTCTTCGGAGGGTCAGTGTGGACTCAATGGGCCGAATGGCCTGCCTCCACATTGTGCAGATTCTATGTAATCACTGTTGATTGTCATTAAAAACCCACCTGGTTCGTTAAAGGAAGGAAACTTCCCACCCTTATCTGGTCTGGCTTACATGTGACTCCAGACCCTTAGCAATGTGTTGACTCTTAACTGCCCTCCGGGTGTTTAGTGATAGGCAATAAATGCTGGCCTAGCCAATGACACCCCCATTCAGTGAACAAAACTAAAAAGAATTACTAATGATACTGGCCCTATCATTGCTCTGTTAATTATGCTAAGTGTACTTCCCACTGGATGCTATTTTAGTGAAATAAAGTGATGAGTATTCAAAAATTCTGTCACACACAGCTGACATATAAATTTTTAATGAAAGCAAATTGTCCCTTGTTTAAAAAGAATGTTCTCAGAAGTAATTTTGTTCCTGAATTGATTGTTTCAGTGTTACTAATTATTCATTTATTAAAATTCTCACTTGTTCAAGGAAAAGTCAGTGTCCCTAAAGGTTTTCAGGATCTCAACATGAGAAATAACAATCCCAGGCAAACAGAAAATCCCCTATTTGTAAAGTCTCAGCAGTGAGTGTTTTTAAATGTTGCATATTTCTTCAGGGTTGGACTCTTCAAAACAATATTAACCTTCTCAGTCAGCATCCTACTCTTAAGAAATCCTGTACGATTGAAGATTAGTATAAAGTGTCCAAGTTCATTAGTAATGATAAGTATATCTCTAAGTGTTGGATGTACTAAGTACATTATTTCATTTAGTCTTAATCGTAACTTGTCGGCACCTTATATACTCTTTTCTAGTTCCTTGCTGTTTATGATTATAATCCATTGCAAGACAGTCCCAATATTCATCCTAGCCACGAACTGGCTTTTAAAGAGGGAGACATAATTTGCTTGTATGGAAAACAAAGAAAGGATGGCTTCTGTGAGGCAGAGGTAAGCAGCTTATTTTGTTCTGTTGTTGCATTTAGAGGAGATGGTGGCAAGAAGGTAATGTCACTGGAACAGTATTTTAGAGACACAGAGTAATACTTTGGGGGTATGTGTTCAAATCCCACCACAGCTGCTGGTAGAATCTGAATTCATTTAATAAAAACGGAATCTGGATTAAAAAGCTTTCTTATGATGGGTGCACCTCAATTCTGTCTCCAGTAATAGATTTTTATGTAAGAACAACCTATCTCAAGCATGAATTAATTTATTGTCACATTATATTGCATTTTAATTTCTTGATTCATAATTGACAATACAGTGATAAAAACCTCTCTGCGATCATCACCATTTACCTCTCCACACTGTTAACTTCCATCTGTTGATATTCTGTGATATCTTCATTACTTGGGTTTTAAGCCTGTCAAGTTTTCTGGTATATAAATTCCTTGGAACAAAAACAGGTTTTGGTTCACTACCAAATGTTAAGTGCCATTTTGATGGACTGACACCATTATAATGATGGATGTCATTATGATCCTTAAAACCCGATTTAATCTCATTCGCGTGCAGTAAAATAAACAATGGTGAAGCCATGATTGGACCTGGTTTCACTCACTTTCCAAGCAAAAGTAGTTGGCAAGTGATACATTGCTTTGTTTAAAAAGTACTCCACTCTACACTCTGCAGTTGCCTTAACAAAATAAACGCAAAGAGTGAAAATAACAAAGATTTATCATATCAATGGACTGACCCTTAGTAAAATTAGCTGATATTAATCACATTGAGTATGGAATGGAATATTGTTTTTTTATTTATTCTTTCACAGGATGTGAACATTTATTGCCCATCCCCAAAAGGCCTTGAACCCTACCACTTAAATTGCTGTAGTTGATCTGGTGTAGGTACTGTAAGGAAGGAGGTGCCAGAATTTTTATTTGGCACCAGTGAAGGAACTGCAAGTCAAAATGGTGTAAATCGAATCATTGTTTGGGATCGGCTATTACAATGATAAAAAAGACAAAATACTTTTCTAAGAACTAAGAGTAGGTTGGATGTTGACTGGTGTTGGAGGATAGACTTGCAGTTTTACCAGTTAAAATATAATTGTAGTTATTTCAATTGTGTTTAAATAGTAGCTCATTCTGCTGGACTGGGCTAACATAGTGGCAATCATAATTACATCAAATTGGTCATACAACTGCCATTCATTGAGTACGCCCGTGTCTTATTACTTCTTACAAAGTGTATCATTCAGATTTATCAGGGTTCAATTCCATCTGCCACTGATCTGCCAATCTGTCTAATCTATTTGTATGCTCCAGTAACCTAAGTCCTTCTTCCTCACCCAATCAATCTTCATGTCATCTGCAAACTTACTTATTCCACCACCCCCACGCTCTCATCCCTCATCCCCATTTCCTCATTGCTCACAATATAGTGAGCAATGTGGGAGAAGGCTTTCGACAAAATCCCATAAAAGAGAATAATGTGTAAAATTAAAGCACGTTGGATTGGAATAGTATATTGATATTAACAGAAAATTGCTCAGCACGCAGGAAACAAAGAGTAGGAATCAATGGGTCTTTTTCCGAATGGTGGGTAGTGGCTAATGGGGTACCGCAGGGATTGGTTCTAGACTCTCAGTTTTCACGATATGCATTAATAATTTATGTGGGGTACTAAAGGTAATATCTCAAATTTGCAGATGACACTAGCTGGGTGAAAGGGTGAGCTGTGAGGAGGATGCACAGATGTTGCAGTGTGATTTGGACAGGCAGAGTGAGTGGGCAAATGCATGGCAGATGCAGTATGATGTGAATAAATGTGAGTTTATCCACTCTGGTAGCAAAAATAGGTAGGCAGATGATTATTTAAATGGTTGTAAATTGAGAGAGGTAAAAATTCAGTGAGACCTTGATGTCCTCATGCACCAGTCACTAAAAGTAAGCGTGCAGGTGCAGCAGGCAGCAAATAACACAAATTGTATGTTGGCCTTAATAGTGAGTGGATTTAAGTACAGGAACACAAATGTCTTGCTGCAATTATATAAGGCATTGGCAAGGTCACACCAGGAGTATTGTGTGCAGTTTTGGTTTCTTTATCTGAGGAAGGATGTTCTTGCAATAGAGGGAGTGCAGCAAAGATTCACCACACTGATTTCTGGGTTGGCAGGATTGACAAATGAGGAGATAATAAGTAGGTTAAGACTGTATTCACTGGAGTTTTAGCAGAATGAAGGGGGATCTCATAGAAACCTATGAAATTCTAACAGGTCTAACAGGTTAGATGCAGGAAGGATGTTCCAGTGGTGGGAGAGTCAAGAACTTGTGACTGTAGCTTAAAGTTAAGGTACCCAGAGACTGGTGAGCCTTTGGAATTCGCTACCACAGAGACTGGTTGAGGCCAAACTTTTGTGGTTTCAGGAAGGAAGTCAGTATAGCTCATGTCTAAAGGGATCAAGGGATGTGCTGAACATTGTGAAATATTGACGAACATCCCCATTTCTGACCATTTGGTGGAGGGAAGGCCATTAATGAAGCAGCTGCAGATGGTTGAGCCTAGGATACTACTACTGCAGAGATGTCCTGGAGTGGAGGTGACTGACCTCCAATAACCAAAACCAACCAGCAAAGAATTTGCCTCCTAATTCCCAATGATTTCAGTTTTGCTTGATGCCACACTCAGTCTCTTTCACCTCACCTCTAGAATCCAGCTCTTTTGTCCATGTCTGAACTAAGGCTGTAATGAGGTCAGGAACTAAGCATCAGTAAGCAGGTTATTACTGAGCAAGTGCTGCTTGGTAGCACTGTATATAATGCCTTCCATAAACTATATTACACATGCATAACCTCTCCATCACCAACACACAGTGACAGCAATGTATACCAGCTACAAGATGCACTGCAGCAACTCACCAAGACTCCTTCAACAGCAAGGTGCAAACAGACGACCTTTAACAGTAAGAAGGGCAAGGATAGTAGATATATGGGATCAGCATCACCTGCAAAGGGCACACCATCCTGACTTGAAAAGATATCACTATTTCTTTACTATCACTTGGTAAAAATCCTGGAATTAGATTTCTAACAGTACTGTGGTTGCACCTAGTGCAGGTGAATTGCAATGGTTCACCACTACCTTGTCATGCTCACCTCCTAAGAAAAAGTAATATTTTACTTGAGAGCTTCTGAGTGAAGCAGTCGCAATTTAAAATACCTATTAAGTCTTATTCCACCCTGCCCCTCCCACACCACCACTGTCTAAAACTCTTTTATGACATCCATACAAATGACAGTTCTGGAATAGTCCATTAATTGTACTGAAATTACTAATTTCCTGTAATGTACTAAACCAGTATCTTAGTGGATATACAAATGAATAACCTAAAGCTAATTATGAGCCATATGTGTAGTAGAAAAATGCTGAGTGTTCACACAGATTTATCAAGTATATGTTGTTAACATGGTTTCTGTTAAGTAACCAGAAGTTCCATGGCAACACTTTGGAAACCTGCCATGATAACAGTGTTGCTATGGAAATCCTGACTAGTTGATAAAAGTGTACTAGAAAGGTACACATAAGAAATGGTATGAAATATCTTTTATGTCCAGTCTTAAAAACATCTTGTGATGTTCCTCATTATAACTAGAGAAAATATAACTAGCTGTAGATAAATTTTCCTCATCTGTCTAGCAATGATCAATCTGCAGCTTCATGTTTTAAATATTCCTTATGTAGTCTTTCTATTGAAGTCATAATTTTTTTCTTTTGGAATGTTCACTATTGGTAGTGAACTGAGGAACTCTACACAAATATCTTCATAATGCTAATACTTGTATTGAGAAGACGAATCCTTGCCACTGTAGTTTTAAAATCTAATCTGCCATCAAATTACAGTCAATTCAATAATCCTAACACCCACATTATATTTACAAGATCTTATCAATTTTCAGAAGTAATTCTATTTCTTTTACAGGTATAAACTACCAATGTATTTTCAACTATTTAAACTATTACACGTGCAATAATAAATAATATGCTGAAACAGATTTTTACGGCCTAGATACAGCAACTTAAATTACGAATTACATTTCCCACTTTGCATCAGTAAACTAAGTTATGAGTAACAGAATGTAATGTCTTTAAACCTTTTCTGTCAGTACAAAAATCCATTTCCTGTTGCCTTTTAAGAAGCAATGCCAGACACCTTGGATGAAACTGATTTATTGTAGAGTACATAACAGGCCAGCAGATCTGGTGAAAGAAAAGTACAGTTACTCAGATGCTGCAAAGTCCACAAGTTCACAACAGCAAAGCAATCCAGATTTCTAATACTTTCATAGTGCTCTACTGAAAATACACATTGCAGTTACCATAATGAACAAGTCACCATTTTTTAAATACATTATTTATTTGGCTAGTGGATAATCTTAATGAAAGATTTAACTCCATACCCACAAGTATGTTATGTCAATTCAACTTTTCCTGGTGTTAAATATTAAATTACTTCTAGTCCTGTGGGTTTTTTTTTCACAGTTATGGTTCATTCAGTTTTCCTGGTGTTCCTGGAGACTTTCCAATTCTTTTGTGCAATGTGTCACCATATTGAAAAGCTTCTTTACAAATTCAGTCTTTTCTTTGAAAAGGCCATTAAGCAGCAAGTTTGACGCAGACTACTTTCCTTCTGGGAATTTGGCTGATAGTCCAATTAAAGATGGCAGTAAGCATTTAAAAATGCAGCACAACCTTCATTTTCAAATTCCTGAAAATACAGAGATAGTCTTGTGTTGTACACGAGGTTTAGGGCTGTAAATTCTACTATGGTCCATTATGTTAAGAAACTGTTAAAACTCCCCTCCTTTTACCCTGAGGATACAGAGTGTTAACATTACCATATAATGTTTTGTCTGTAAAGTGACAGCTTTTTTACATTTTCATTTTAATTGCTTTGTAACATAAGACCTGAATCATAACCTGCACAGCTCCATTAGTCAGCTTCTTTTAATATAAATAAATAAGTTCTGTGAACAAAACTTACCACCCAGTCAGATAAATTATACAGTTATTGGTAAGAACTACTTTCATGTGAATGCAGATGCTTTTAGGCCTAACTCTTAAAGCCATCTCCTAACCTGCACGTAAAACAAAATAATTTGTGAGGTCAGGAATTCTGCGATGGCTGTCCCAATCTGATGCAGTGACTATGTTTGCTTTTATGATAAATTACTTCTGTCTGAATTAAATTTCAAAATGCAGAAGAGTGGGTTTAATATGCACCTGTAGCTTCCCATTTAATCTCAGTGATTTTTAATCAGAACCTCCTGTATTTTTGTGACCATCTCCTGGAAGTGGTTCCACTTGCAGGTTGACTCTGGGTACATGCGACTGTATTTTGCAGCTGGAGAAATGAAGACAAATTTAATTTTAATCACAAGTAGATATTTTGATGAGACAGGAGTAATCTGGCAGTTTGTGGCAAATGATAACTCATAATATGTTTCTTCCTTGCTATAAAATTGCTGAATGAATTACGTATTCACAAAACCTTGTGTATTAAGCTCCCCTGCAATGTCTGGGTCGGAGTGTAACATTTTATCATAATTTATGGTTGCATTGAACGTGCAGAATTGAACACAGCCCAACTCCCAGGACTGTAATGATACCCAATCCTGACCCTGACAGCATCATGTGGCTGACTAATCCTGACTAAGCCCCTGGACTGAGATCCAGTTCCTTCCAGGACTGACTGTGACGAGACTCTCTGACTGATGACAGTCCCTTTTCACTTGACTGAGGATTACTCCCATTAGACATTCAGGCACGGCCATTCGGTTGAAGCACTTTTTGTGTCTTTGCCACGCAAGCTGCTGGCACACGCTGTAGGAGTGACATTGATGTAACATGTGACCATAAAAAAACACACCCAACTCCCTGACTGATCATTGCTAGCAAACATGACAAGTGGCCTGGTTTTGTGAATGCACCACAAAGCAAAGCAAGGCAGAAGTACTGTGAGCCTTTTATGTTATGAATGAAGACAGCAAAGTGCAAAAAGGCAAGGTGAAGATGCTGTGAGCATTCAAGAAGGTACAAAATGAACGAGTGCCAAGAGAGAAAGCAAGAAGCCCTGAATTACTCCCTAGACCAATCCACAAAATGGGTGCTTGTCCCTGTGTGCAAAATGGCCTGGTAGCAGCATTCTAATGAGAGGTTTTGGTGTGCTGCAAAGTACAGTATTGAACCGGGACATTCTAAGTGAGCTGGAGATGTCCCATGATGGTGTGTTGAACCTAGTGCTAGTCCGATGACAATATCTGTGGATTGGGGGTTGGGAGATCGCTGCCTATGGTGCTTACCTGGAGCTGTTGGGTACTGTTGGCCAAAACAGAGGCTTGATGAAGCAAGCATTGAAATGGAGCTGCCAAATATCCGCTCTGACTTTCTCGTCTTGAATTGTCACTGTCTACATTCTCTCCACCGCTTGGGGGAATAGAAAGCTGGATATCAATGAGGTGATAATGAAGAGGTAATAATGAGATGTTAATGCAAACAAAATCGTCTCTTGCTGTCCACTAATGAGACTCTTGTCTTATTGGTGAAATCTTGCGTAGAAAATTGTACTTCCAGCTTTTTCCTTACATCAGGAATCTAATGTTTCTAATTTTGCTATACTTTCCTAACTGACTCATCATTGCCCATCTCATTTAGGGGCTGGAAAAATTCAGCACCTCATTTATTTCACTCACTCTGTATTTTCCAAATTTTCTTGCCACTGCCTCCAATGTTTACACACTAGGAAATTCTGAGCAATGTAACTAGAAGGTGGAATAAAACACACAATCCGTTAATAAAAAAACTGAACCATTGCTACAGGTTCTTCTGAAGTAATTTTAGTTCCTGTTTTCTGTCAGCTTGCTAACCACTTACAAGTACTACTTGCAAAATAAATAACCAAAAATGCAAACTGTTTGCAAAACACTTTTGAAGTTGCCGTGAAATTGATTGATTCCAGGGTGAATTAAAGTTTGTTCACTGAGGCCTACCCTGTGCCAGGGGTTTGGAGTTTCGATGATTGAATCATCCTGAACTGCTATACACTATGCTTTGGGTACATGCTGACAACTGGCATGCATGCAGTTGACACAAAGTCTTGCTGTCCAAAAAGCTGGCTGTAAACATGATAGACTAATTTATTATGATTCATTCATGCTTGTTTGACCTGCAGCTTTCTCTGTTAGCACAACATTATTCTTGGGTTTATTATAACATGATTCTTAATTGGATTCCTAGCTTCCTCCTAACTTCAAATTTTCCATAAAATAATAGCTGGAGGAAAACTGTCCAGATCCTCATTTGGAAACAAGAAAGTGGACATTATTTCCCTTGGAAAAATAAATGTGGGTTGATGTCTCTGGGCAGCTTAGGAAGCTGGATGCTTGACTTTTCTGTATTTTGGGGTTTGATTTCAATTTATACACTCAGAATATGATTTTTGTCTCGTAAATTGCTGTTTCTCACGCCAGGTATTTACACAAAGCCGTAATATGAGTTTGCTCAATTTTTCTGAGAATGCTGTTTGTAAACTCAATTTCTGTAACTTGGAAACTTGTAAATTTCTTTGTGTGCGAGAAAGAGCATATGATTTATTATCAGTTGTAAAATGTTTCCTGGATGTTCAAGGTATTGTTTTCACAGGTTAATGGAAGGCGAGGTCTAGTACCAACAAGTTTTCTTGGTGCCAGAATTGAATTGCCAAAAACACTGGAACACAAAGCAGTAAGTAATGTTACATTCTCTATATATATGGTCATATAATTTAGAGTACAAGAAAGTTGACTGCTTAATTTTCTGTTCTATTGTTTTGTGTTTTTACTATGATTAGAATTTTTTAGATTATATGATATTTTGATGGTTATTTTGAAGGCAGATATTCAGGCCCAGATTTTCAATACTGAGCTGGTTAGCTCAATTTACTTGCTCATAAAACCATTCATAGTATCCTCATAGTACCCGTTAGTGTGGAAACAGGCTATTTGGCCTAACAAGTCCACACTGATCCTCAGAGCATCCCAGCCAGACCCACCTATCCCTGCAACCCTGCACCTTCCATGGCTAATCCGCCTAACCAACATATCATTGGACACTATGGGCAATTTAGCATAGCCAATCCATCTGGCGCGCACACCTTTTGACTCTGCTTACTAAGCTGCACAGGAGAAGAATGCTTGACTTCTATATGAAGTTAAACTGCTATTTTTCTGTGATCTATTTTGTCAATGACTCAGTGTTTATTTGCACACGATCTTTAGTTTTAAATGATTGTAAAATGTTAGTTGCACTTTAAAATTCTGTATGATTGACACATTCATAGGTTTGTATAAATAGCAGTATTTTTAAAAGAAAATGATGAATGTGCATTTTAAAGCAGTTTTTCACATACCATTGTTACTGTAGGGTTCATGTATAATATACAGTGTATAATTGTCATTGAAGGATATGAGGAGCCATTCACGGTGGGTGGGAAGGGAAATGGTTGACATGAAGGTTATGATAGACCATTAGGGGCTGGTAGAAGACATGAGTTGGCAGGGAAGTGGCGTAGGGGCATTAACCTTTCCTTTTCAAAGGTTCCTATATCCAGACTATGGCTCGTAACTCCTCTGAGGGGCTTTAAACTGTGACTCATGGAGAAACTGGCATGACTCTACAAATATTATGAGGGCATTCTGACAAATGCCTAAACCCACAATAGAAGCTGCAAGATCAGGAGTGCAGGATGTGGACTTACTACCTGCACTGTTATCCCACACTACTGATTATTCTGGGTGCTGGGAATCGGGCATGGAATCTCAGAATTAGTTCTTGCCATCATTTTTAAATGCCAGCAAAGTTGTGACTGTATGTGAATATGTGCCATAAATCTAGTTTTACCGCACTGTGGGTGCTAATTCATGATTGCCATGAATAGGATTTTCTGTTTAGGATCGGGACATGGACTCTGAGATCATATTCTATTGGCCAGAGGACATCGTTGCCATCTAGTTAAGGGTCATTAGGAGCCTGACATTTGCAGGTATGGAAAGGAGAAGATGCCAAGGTCTCAAAGTGCCTTTATATTAAGAATTTGCCAAAGCTGCTGTCTCCTGTGGACAGGAAAATCCTCCATAGAGTGCCTTGTGTCTGTATCTGTGGCCAAGTGGGTATGGTTGCTTTGGGATTGGGTGGGTTCCTCAAAATGTTCTTAGAGCAGTGCACCCCCAAGCCTGGCCCCCAGTTCTGGTCTGCTGCTTTGAGGACATCTCCAATGTTTGCTGGGCTCCAAATGCCACAATATTGTAGCTGTGATGTTGCTGAATTATTAATCCTGAGGGCCACAACTAGTACTCTGGAGACTTGAGCTTAAATCCCACAAAGGCAGTTGACAGATTCCATCAATAAATTTGATATGATATGCTAATCTCATTAATAATGACCAAGAAACTATTAGATTGTCATTAAAACCTATTTGGTTCTTTAATGTAATTCAGAGGAGGTTTGTTTAGAATGAACCTGGTTTGACTTGCATGTACCAGCTCTTAGCTGCCATTCAAAATGATTTAGGAAGTCAGTCATATCAAGCTGCTGAAGAAAAAAAGGACTGTGGGTGTATGCCAATGGACTGTGACAATTCACCACATTCTCGTGGGCAGTTATGGATGGGCAACAAAAGCTGGCCTTGCCAGTGATGCTCATATCTCAAGAACAAATATTAAAAGAAAATATAGCCTGCTTTCCATACCAAAGAAGATCTCAAAGTGCTTGACAGCTGATGAGATGTAAACATTATGGCCATATCAGAAACATGACAGCATACACTAACTCTCACAAATGGAAATGTGACAATGAGCAGATAATCTGTGTTTGTGTTGTTGATTGAGAGAAACTATGGATAACTCTTCAGATCATTGTCAAAAAGTAGATTGGGGTTTCAGCCCACGAGGAGGCCAACTGGGACAACTGAAAATCGGCATTTCCAATGCATGACTCCCTCAGTACTGCACTGGAGCATCATGCTTGATATTTGTGCTTGGGTCTTGGAATGGGACTTGAACTCGTGATCTTATCTGGTCAATAGTCTGCAAGATCACCCAACCACAGATTGTGCAATCTCTCGGGTTATGCATTAAAATCAGTGGTGTGTTAATTAGTCAGCTTCTAGTTCAGTTATCGATCCTCCCCATCCCTTATTAAGTAATTAATCAAAGATTTTACTTCTGTCCCAGTCAAGGTCAGCAAGTTCACCTCCAGGGCATCATGGGACACCTGAGATTCCTCAATCCTCAGAAGACATCTGCAAACAAAAGCTGAACAATAGGCAACGATTAATGAGAAGAATATAAGTAAGTTTGTTTAAGAGTTTCAAAATGTCAAGCTTTACATTTTTAAAATAATCAGCTCTTTTTTTTTCCTCTCAACGCAATCTTTATTTCCCTTTGCTACTTTTCTTTATGTCTGTTATTTGACATGGAATTCACCTATTTTAATTTACACTTCCAACTCTGCACTGGTAATTTGTTTCTGAATTCTTCATGGGGTGTGGGCATTGCTGGCACAGCTAGCATTGGTTATCCATTAAAGTGGCCCTTGAATTAAATGGCTTGTCTAAAATGGCCCATTGCTGTGGGTCTGGAGTCACATATAAACCAGATCAGGTAAGGATGAGAGTCAGCCAGATTTTTATTTTTGTTTAGCGCAATCAATGATGATTTCATGTCCCGTCATTACTGAGAATAGTTTTCAATTCCAGTTTTTGTAAGTTGAACCAATTCTACAAATGTCAGTGGCAGAATTTGAGCCCATTTTGCAGGGAATTAGCCTGGCCCTCCTCATTGCTAGTCTAGTGACAATGCCATTCTGCTGTCACCCTGCCCTGTATCATGTAGTTATTTAGATTCTTAAGGATATGCACAGTTGCTTCACTCAATTCCAGGTGCCCTGTTGCCTTCACTGCAATATTATTAGTCCACACTTTTGGCAAATTAACAGACAAAAAATGCATTTAAACACTTGAATATGCACAATGTCATTAGGTATCCTGATACAACAAAGTCTTGCCCATAATGAAATGTACTTTGTTTGGGCTATCCAAGTAATTGTTATAAGGGCAAAAGATAGAGGGCTACAAATTTAACTGCATGATTTCATCATTTTTATAATGCACAATGTTATTATGGAACCTTTGGAACAAATACTGATGCATTTAATGTCTCACTGAATAGCATCTTATGTAATTCTGCATAAAATCAACTCAAGTGTTTAACAGTCAAACCGATGTTGGAATTAAAATTTACACCTACTTACTCCTTGTAGACATATTGTAATGTTTAAATTGACTCAACAAATTGGATTGTGGATAGCAAAAACTAACAACTTCATGAATTTTTAAGCTTCATCGTATCATGTAATCTAACTGGCCAAACATTTATGAATCTAGCCCCATACTTTACATTGATTTAGAATGTAGTTGCTCTGAAAGACAAGGTAATTTAGTTTGTGTCACATAGCGTTGCTCTGCTGTCATGAAATCCATAAAAGGTTATGAGCTCTGTGTATGCAGAATTTCATAGTTGTATGTGAAGTTACTGCATGTCATACCTTTGTTATTATATCACATTTATTTTTTTTTCTGAAAATCTTTACAGGTATGAAGTTTAAAACCTGAAGATCTAAACGTGCACTGCTATTTGTCAAATAGAGTTATCTGGTAAATCTGCTGTCTCTGCTGAATGAACTCTTCCTCACTTCCATTCGGTGCTAAATCCCAACAAAACCATAGCCTTGTATCTTCTCCTTTCACTTGTTACCACGTATATCTATTTAATTTTTATATTAGCACCCTATTATTTCTGGTTTGTGTTCTTGGCCAAAGTTCTGTATCTTTACACTTGGCCTTTTATGTCAAATATCTTTGTGCACTTTTCATCTTTTTTTAGTAGAAAAGAAAGTACTGACTTAGTAACATGACTTATGATATGTAACAAGTCCACAGCAAAGTTCTTAACAGAAATATGCTGCAATGCTATTGCCCTGCTGAAAACAGATGGAAGAGCAACACTCAAAGCTCAGCATACAACTTTCCTTATTTACGCATTCTAAAACAAAACATGTCTTAAAATTTGGCTTATCTTTTTGCATATTCCATCATCAAACCTATTTGTGCTGATGATCAATGCCTTGGACAAATAACAAACAAAAGAACCTCTGTTAAGTTAATTTCAGTTGTATAAATGAAACTTCTATCCATACATGTATGTTGTGTGCAACAAACCTGTACGCGTGCAGAAGGTGAAGAATCAGTGTACTGCACAATTCTTCTGGTGGCATGTGTGCAGGTTTTGGTTAAAAGCCCTTTTATTTTGAAAGGAGATCTATTAAGCACAGTTGCCACTAAGCAAATTTGTTTAACATTTCACTTCTTTTGAAGTGTGTCTCAGGATCCAATTCAGGAGGCAATAGTGCTTACTCCCTGTTTGTTCTATATTTGTATATTATGTGTACAGTATAAGACAACTTGTTTGCACTTTTCATTGTCTATTGCACCTGAACAAGCAACAAGTACTTTTAAATTTATTTTTTAAAGAAATAATACTGCATTAACAACTTAGAAGCATTTTACAAAAGTAAAAGTTTTCTTCCTAAAGTTGTTCTTGCAAGAAAACCCCTTCCAAAGCTATTGATAATTTGTCATTAAAAAAGGGTAATTCATTGGTTGCTGCTGTAGTATCAGTCCTGGTATTTGGCTAAACGGAAACCTCTGCAGTAATGACAGCTCTTCCTGTGGTGTAAATCACTTCCTGAAAATTCCTAAAAGAACTATTTCATAAGTTTATAAATTCTCTGATACCCACAATAAAACATGCAAATTACTAAACTTTGGAATTCTTTGATATTCAATATCATGCCGAATTCCTTAGTTTATTTAGGCTCCTATGATGGTAATTGCAAACTGTGTTATGTTATTAACAGAAATATATTCATTTGTACAAAATGTTACAAAACTAACGTTTTTCCCATTGAACCGCATAAGTGAATCATGATTAATGTCAATGCAAAATTTATACTCTGTCCTATTTAATCTGTAATGAAATAGATGGAAACAATTTAATTTGACAATATATTTTGCCAGTGATGTTGAGCTTTTACTGACTGGCAAAGAATTTGGATAATCCAAAATCAGTAATTTATGTTTTTTTGCATGCGACATAGTGATTCTGCTCAAATGAGGAAATGGATGAAATGCGGTGTTCCCTTTGCAATTGCTTTTCTCCAGACCCTTGTAATGTTTGTTAATAGAAAACTTCAGTGCATGATTTGTTGATCGTACTGTGGCCTTGTGACAAACAGCAAATCTAAACTTTAATCCATTTACATAAAACCAGCGGATGTGGAACAATCTCCACAGCTTTACTTATTTCATTTCCAGTATGGCAAAAAAGGTATGTATATAATATGTAGGTATATGTATATATACACACACATATTTATATATCAATATGGGAATGTACATGTGTGTGTATATATATTATATACAACACAACAGATTTGCATTTTGTTTTTTATGTGTTATATATCCTTCAGTGCCTTATAGAGGCAGAGAAGAATTAAAATCATAATACTAAGTTTCTGCACAAGCCATGTCTGAATTTTGTCTGTCCAAGCCAAACACTTACAAGGCTAATTATTGGTTCTTAATACGACATGGTCTTGAGAATATTCCTTAATACACAAGGGCCTTGCAAAACAAATGGAATAAAGTTTAGATGTGTTTTATTAAGATAGAAGCATAAGAAAAATGTCAGCAGATTTCTAATGTACAGAATACTGAATTAATGTATTGTAGTCACCACTGTTTCTTAAATGGTTGTACATCACACATTTATAAATTGTTTATTAAATAACAGTAAAAATTACTTAAAATCTTGTTGATTTACTTGTTAATAAAATGTTAAGGTTATTTTTATAAGCTAGTAACATGTAAATGATTTCTATACATTTGTATATTGTAAAATGTATGCATTTTGTATTAAAATAAACATATAAAGTTCTTCTGGAAATTAGTTCTTTTTCTGATTCAGTGTTAGAAATGAAGATTGTACTTCTTTCTAGTGCCTCCAATGTTCCTAAGGAAATGGAAACTAACACAGCCATTTTTAAATACAAAAGTAAAATATATGTACATAGTTGTGACTAAATTTAGTCTTATCTGAGGAGTAACTCCTCAGTTAGACACAGGTAAAATATTTTCGGATAATCTTAATCAAGTCATTGCTGTTTTCAGGTGTATGGAACACTGTCTGGTACCATGGTGTCCATCATATTCAAAAACTATGAAGGTGACAAATATTGTAAATGTCACAGTCACCTGGGATCAGCATTGAGGTGTATACGTGTAGCATAGATGACTGACGTGTACCTGAACTGTTCTTTAGTAGACCTAAACTAGATGCTAACATTCATATCAAATGTGGTTTTTAAAAGAAAGGAGTCACATAGCAGAATGATTGAATGATAACCATTAAGTAGAAAACAACTGTTGACAGTCAAATTGACAAGTGGGAAGCATTGTCCATTAGGGAACCATGCTGGAACTACCATTAACAAAACTTATTTGGTCTCAGCAGTCAAGGATCAGAAATGAAAATTTGTTAATACAAAATTGGTGGGTATAGCTAATACAGAAAGGCATAACAGTTGAGTAAATGAGAATTAAATGAAGTGTGAGTTGGTTCATTTTGGTGGATGAAATAATGGGAAAACCCATTCTTTGGAAGATAAGACTTGAAATGACGTAAAAGAGTGTGAAAATCAGAACATATTTAAATAAATCATTAAAAGAGAAACAAAGGTGGATAAGGCAAAAAGAGTGCTAAATACTGGAGTATATTTTCAGAGAAGTAGAATATAACAGTAGTTTGACAGTATAACGTTGGCACGAGCAGAAGAGTTGACAGCCAGACTACACCAATTTAAAATAATTGCCATTAAATGCCTGCAGTCAAGGCATCTACCACCATTAAGGAATGTGGTACTACCCCCAAGAGTTGCCAGTCAATTGGAGGGCCAAAAGCTGTTCCAGTAGCGCCACCAGGAGCGATGGTCACTGCTGGTATTACAGTAGGCTCAGATCAAAAAAGATTGAGGAGGCTCCTGAAAATCAATTTGAGCTCATGCACGCCAACAACAGGACATAGCAGGGGTGGGAATCAGTCATGAGGGCTAGGGGATGGGGTTTATTTTTTGTGAGGGACAGTTTTTGTTGCTAGGATGGGTTCTCTGTGAACCACTGTATGCCTATTCAGAGGGGCCTCACCAATGTACCAGAAAAGTGGCCAGGATATACCAGCAGCCAGCTTTGTCATCTATCCAAATTTTTGTTATGAAACCACCTCCCCGACCCCATTCTATTATCCTTCCTTTGACCTTGTGAAATCCTAGCACACAAATGGGAAACTATTTCATTTCCACTACTAAATAAGTACAAAAATTATTCCTCTGACGACATGTCCATCCTGGGCCTCCTACAGTGCCACAACGATGCTACCCGAAGGTTGCAGGAACAGCACCTCATATTTTGCTTGGGAATCCTGCAGCCCAATGGTATCAATGTGGACTTCACAAGCTTCGAAATCTCCCCTCTCCCTACCGCATCCCAAAACCAGCCCAGCGTGTCCCTGCCTCCCTAACCTGTCCTTCCTCCCACCTATCCTCTCCTCCTACCTCAAGCCCCACCCCCATCTCCTACCTACTAACCTCATCCCGCCCCTTTGACCTGTCCATCCTCCCTGGACTGACCTATCTCCTCCTTAACTCCCCACCTACACTCACGCTTACTGGCTCCATCCCAGCCTCTTTGACCTGTCTGTCTCCTCTCCACCTATCTTCTCCTTTATCCATCTTCTGTCCACCTCCCACTGTCTCCCTATTTATTTCAGAATCCCCTTCCCCTCCCTCATTTCTGAAGAAGGGTCTAGGCCCGAAATGTCAGCTTTCCTGCTCCTCTGATGCTGCTTGGCCTGCTGTGTTCATCCAGCTCTACACCTTGTTATCTCACAAAAATTATTCACTCAGCTTTAATCATCAGAATGGAGTAAAATATTTATTCTGCTTGAGATGTGAACATTCCAATCATTCAACAAGCAGTTATCTGTCATCATGAGAGAACATGAGCATCTTTTCAGATGAATGAAGTACGGCATTTACAATGACCATCCTAGTCTGCTTATTCCTTGTGGTATACCTATGACACACGTTTCAAACAAAGGTTTTGCAAAACTACTTGTGTCGTTTTAATCCTCCAATTTATTTTGTATGGTTGCCATGCAATTACAAAATTAGAAGCGTGCATTTGATACTTTTCCAGTTACTTCCACAGTGTCATGTTTTGAAAAAATGATTATTACAACTCAAGACGGCAAAGCACAGTAATAACTATAATGGAGAGTAATTTACACAACACCAACAGGTTCAGCACCATGCCTTTCTCACACACAAAGTGAGGAAATTGAAATGCCATCATAACTTGATGACTGGGACCATATCTCCGCTTTAACAGTTACATCAAAAATACTTGGTGTTAAGCATAGCTGTTATTTCCAATAGAATTTTAATAATAAATAAATTTACTTGCCTACGTATTCTCAAAATAGAAAGTAATGAGTCACCAAGGATTCATAGGTTGGGATTAGTTGTTATGGTTATGAAATAAAAAACAAAATATTTTTTCTAAGAACTAAGGTGGTTTGATGTAATCTAACATTGGAGAATAGAACTATATTTTTTTCCAGTTAAAATGACTGTACTTATTCCAATTGTGTTAAAGTGACAGCTAGCTGTGTTAGATTGGGTTAACATAATGGCAATCATAATTTCATCAATTTGGCTGCAAAGATCACAATATGTTTGGCATTAAATAGTAGATTACCTTTTTCATTAGGTGTTCTAAATTTGTGAGAAAATATTTCGAGTTAAGCTCACAATCTGTTCCTTATTTTGTGTCACTTCAAGGAGCTGTTCGAACTATGGATTTTGACAACATTTTGTTAATGAGATTTTTGTTATTTGTTCCTGGAATGTAGGTGTAGCTAGCTAGGCCGGTATTTATTGCACACCCCTAATTACCTTTGAGAAGGTGGTTATGAACTGCCTTCTTGAACTGCTGCCATCTTGAGGTTACATCCAATGGTTCTAGTATTTTAACCCAGCGAAATCGATTGAACAACGATGCAGTTCTAAATTAGGATGATAAGTGGCTTGAAGGGGAACTTGCAGATGGTGATGTAGCCATGAATCTGCTGCTGTTGTCCTTCTAGTTGGTACAGTTTGCAGATTTGGAAAGTGCTTTCGAGGAAATCTTGGTGATATGCCACAGCACATCTTGTTCATGGCACACACTACTGCCACTATGCTTTGATCTGCGTGTATATTTCCCTGAGTGCTCAACCCTAAGTTGTCTTCTATTTATTAACCCTACACCATTTTTGTATAAAGAGGACATCCAATTTTACAATGTTCACTTATCATTATGTGATTGAACTAAATGAAGAAGTTTTATTTTGGATGGACTTAACCAACTTTCCTGATCAATGGTTTACCTGAATCAAGCATTACATAAGTATGATGTAACACTCTAAGTAAAGCTTACCATAAAAACAGAACTAAACTCTGAGTGCTTCTGTAACCAATGATAGATATATGTATGAATTAACTATCTTTGGTGGTGTTTAATGTTAAGGATACATAGCATTTGGCAGCATATGTAAATCACACTATACCACCTGCAATGCTTTGCACTCTGTAAGGCAGACAACAAGTTAATTTATAATGTGGATTTGTTGTAAAACAATTACATTTGTTGTTATGAGGTGAAGAAATTGTTTCATAAAACCTATTGAATGATATGGGGGAAAAGACAAGTGAGTTGAGTTGAGGTTCACATCAACCATAATCTAATGGGAGAATAGACGAGATACAGAATAGTCCCTGCTCATTTTAAAATAGGAGCAGAAGTAGGCCATTCAGTTTCTCGAGTCTGCTCCATTATTTGAGATGTTTATTGATAATCTACTACAATGATACTATCCTGCATGATCCCCTTTCTGTTAATGTCAGTTGTATCCAGAATGCTACTGATTTCTTTCTTGAATATTCTCAATGACTGAGCTTCCACAGTCCACCTGTGTAGAGAATTCCAAAGATTCATTGCCTCTGAGTGAAGAAAATCCTTGTCATCTCCGCCCCAAATGGCCTGCCCCATATTTTGAGACTGTATTTCCTAGTTCACACAGCCAGAGGGACATCCCTTTTGCCTGCAACCTGTGCAGCGCCTTAAGGATTGTGTGAGTTTCAAGGAGATTACCTCTCATTCTTTGAAATATGAGGCAATATTGGCTTTGTCTCCTCAACCTCTCAGATGACAGTCCATCCATGTCACTAGTAAGTCTGTTGAACCTACACTGCACTATTGCAACTATATCCTTTTGTAAATATGGGGGCCAAATCTACACACAATACTGCAGGCAGAGTCTCTCAAAGATTTCACGCAAGTGAATCAATGCACCCTTTACTCCTGTACTCAAATCTCCTTGCAATGAAGCTGAACAAACCAGTGTCCTCTAAATTGCTTGCTGTACCTGAATTGTTGGCTTACTGTGACTTATTACACGTAGGTCCCTGTACACCTACACTCCGAATTCACTGTGTGTCTGCACTTCTAAATGTGTGTTGGTCGAGCTGGAGATAAGTGGTCACAGTTAACACAGATAGATTATTTGACATTTTTAAAAAAAAGTTAGAACGCAGATGTCTCTTCCAGTACTAGGTTTTTTTTCAAAGAGCGGTAATGGGTGGTACAGTGCAGGAGGGACGGACAAGCTCGTTGCATATTCCGAAGAGGTCAGGTCAAATAAAAATAAAGCAACACGACAGCTTGATCCCAGACAAGGTCAGGGTGAAGGCGCGGCCCGACTCCCTGAGCCAGTTCTTTCAGGAGGTGCTGAACGGACAGCTCACTGTGTAGTGAATGGCTTGGCCTCTCTCTCACACACACACACAATTTGATCGAT